GAATTAAATATGAAAACTAAGCTTGATATTCTAGATTACCCAATTACCGTAACGACATCAGACAAAGCTCATTATCCAAAAATTACAAATGAGTTGTTACAATCTCTAGTAAAATATGGGGCATGTCAACCGTTTGAAAAAGACATGACAAATAATACTTTTCCGATGGATCCTAAGACAAAACGTCATTATTCATCATCTTATTATTTTATAAAAAATTCTATGAACGAGATAACCAAGTACCATTGGATGTCTTACTCAATCATGCAAAATGTTGTATATTGTCATCCTTACTGGCTTTTTGGGGATAATGCTACTAAGCAATCAATTTGGGTTTCTGGTTATTCGGATTGGAAACATTTAACCCAGTCAGCTATCATTCATTGTAACAGCAAACAACATTTTAGATCTGATGTAGCACTAGTTCAGTATTTTGAAAGTAAATCTATTGGAGCAATGATTTCAAAGCAGTATTCATTAGAAGTGAAAAAATGGCGTGAAATCCTTAAATTATTATTTGATGTAGTACTGACACTTTCCGGATTAGGCTTAGCTTTCCGAGGACATAGAGAGAATATCAACGATGCGCGTTGTGAAGTTTACTTATCGATTTTAAAACTGTTAGCAAAGCATAACTAGGTATTTGAACAACATTTACAATCAAGCCTAAGAATAAAATATACAAGTAAAACAATCACTGAAGAAATTATACAAATATTGGCATCTGAAACAAGAAATTCAATTTTAAAAAAATGTAAAGCTGCAAAATTTTTTACTGTTATAGCTGACTCCGCAACCGATATTAGCCATATAGATCAAATGGCCATTATGATAAGATTTGTAGAAATTAATAAAGAATAAAGGACTGTAAAAATAACTGAGCGATTTTTATGTTTTGTACCAGTGAAAAAGGGAGATGCTAATTATTTAAAAGACCTAATAGTCAATGTTCTTTTCAAGCAGTATGAACTAAATCCAAAATACTTAGTTGGCCAAGCATATGATGGGGCTGCGGTAATGAGTGGTGTTCATGGAGGTCTCCAAAAAAAAATTAATGATTACTTAAAAGAGAATTGTAATAATGAAAAAGCCTATGCTCCATATATTCATTGCCCTAGTCACCAAATAAATTTAGTTTTACAAAATGCAGCGGAGGAAAAATCCAGTGCTAATGTTAAATTTTTTTTTGCTTGTCTCCAAAACATTTATGACTATTTCGCTCATTCTCATAGACGGTGGAACTTACTTTTAGAAAAATCAAAACTGCCAAATGTTTTACAAGTTTAGTAAATGAAGATCAAAATTTATATGAACGTGAATTAGAAGACACTAATAATATTTCATTACATACTGATAGTGAAAATGAAATGGAAAATGATGACCAGAAAAATGAAAATACATCAGAAATTACAAGTTTGAAAAAAAAATATTTCGAATAAAGTAAAACATTTTCTTCGTTTAAAAGGCTTATGTAAAACAAGGTGGTCTGCTAGAGTTAAAGCAACTGAAGCTTTACTTTCAAATTTTCAATCCATTGTAGAATGTTTAGAAGAAGAATCTGAAAATTCAGAAAATAATTCTGAAAGTTTATTCCGAGCTAGGGGCTTAATAAAATCATTAAATTGGGTATTTTTTTAAATTTAATGTGGTGGAATAAAATACTACAAATTATTGATGTAGTATCCCGATTATTGCAGTCAAAAAGTAATGACTTGTTTTTGGTGGTACAAAGTTTCCAATCTGTAGTAGACAAATTAAGTGTTTTAAGAACTCATGATCAATATAATGCTTTTGTTGTAGAGGCAAAAACTGTTTGGTCAAGTTTTGATATCTTTACGGATGTTTTAGGACCATCAGAATTTCCAAAGAAGAGGACAAAAAAAATGCCATTACAAATTGATGAAAATACTAGAGGCATAAGTTTAACAGAAGAAGAAAAGCATAGACAAATTTATTTTGAAACATTAGACAACATGATTGGCGAATTAAATGAGAGAATGAATGGATTTTCCAAAGTCTTAGATTTGTTTAATTTTTTAAATCCAGATGTACTAAAAAAAATAAATATAGAAGATGTGAAGAAAAAGTGCGAAGCTCTTGTGTTACAATATAGTTACTTTACTGTAAACGAATTGTCTCTTGAAATAATGTCGTTTCAGAGTTATTATTTTAATTCAAAAGAATCAGAAAGCACAAATAATAATATATTATGTTATTTGGCATTCATTATTAAACACTCATTGTCTGATGTATTGCCCCAAATAGAAACTCTTTTAAAAATTTTTTTAACACTACCCATTGGAAGTGCGAGTGCTGAAAGAGCTATGAGCGTACTAAGAAGATTAAAAAATTATCTTCGTTCAACTATGGTTCAAAATCGAACAAGCAATCTAGCTTTACTTTCAATGGAGTATGAAGCAGCACAAGACCTCGATATGACTGAACTTATCGACAAGTTTTCCAAGGCAAAAGTTCGCAGAGGTTCTCAGCTATAATTTTTTTTAAATTAAATTTTATATATCTATTATACATTTTCTTTTATTTGTAAAAAATAAATAAATAACATTTTCTATTACTTTTATAAAAAGAATGTTGGTTGGTCATTGTTTTCGCGAGCGAAGCGAGCTGTTTTGTAAAATAGGATTAAGTATGCTACTGACATTTTTTAAGAGCCCCCCCCTATGGATTTGCCTACTTTATTTGAACCATTAAATCCGCCACTGTTCCCCAGTGACATTTTAACGCATGCGCCACACATCCAGGCTGATCCCGAGGAATGCGTTATTACCTACTTAAAATTATTAAAATAACTCTTGGAAAAAAATTATTTTTGAACATCTGATTCAAAATATTCATACTTCATGATTTAGTTTTAATTACGATTTACGGTACTGTTATTTTGCTGCTCATTGACGTGCACAGAACGATGCAGTTCGGTTGACATTTCGAGTCATTTATTTGTTTTAATTCCACTGTGGTGTTTTTTGTTATTATTATTATTTTGTATATAATATTAATTAATGATGACCGAGTCAAGAGACCTAGAGTCAAAATGGCCGCATTTAAATAATTATTTTAAACAGCTACCTGCGGATATTTCGGATGTCAGTGGAAATTTTGTGTTCAAATGTGTCCTTTGCCTACCAAAAACGAAATTATTGTCAACTTCTAAAAACATCAAATACAAATAAGTCTTTCTAAAAAATAACATAGTAGACGAAGACTAGTAAATTGTGGAATAGTTGTTTAATTAGTTATAAATTATAGAAAGTTTAAAATTTTTAATTTTTAATTAAGTAATTTATAAAACGACTATCTATGTAAGTTTCTATATTTATTTTTATTTTTTATAATCCATAATCATGAAATAACATAACCATAATGATTATGTTATATGTAATTAAAGTAGGTAAGTACTAAAGTCTAAAAGTATCTATTGGCTATCTTCGAACACAGACAATATTATATATAATACTTATAAAGTTATAGTTATACTTTACTTAGACTTTAATATGTGGTAAGTAGGTATATAATCTATTAAATGTATATTTTTTTTTGTCTATCAAGTACCTATTAGAATTTAATTATAATTTAGAATAGTATTTACTATTTACTTAGGTTGTATTAACAAATTAAAGAAAATTGACCTTAAATTATTCTTAAAAAAACAACAATCAATATAAATAAAAATATTATTTTATTTATTCAAACATAATGAATCATCAACTGCCCACCCTAAATCCTCAGCAAAATATTGCCAAGCATACTACATGGTTGGCCACATGGGCACAGAAATCTGAGATTGATATAAATTCCAAATTTGTTAATCATTTTGTAGGTAACCTATTTTTCTTACAGATTCGAAAATAATTAAAGTTTTAATTAAGTTAATTTTTTTTCATTAATTTTAACTTAACGAAGTTATAAAAAAAACATCAGTAAATTTTTAACTTAACTTAACGTACCTAACTTACTTTTTCTTATATTAACTTAACTTAACGAGTTAAAAAAAATCGTTAACTTGCCCAGCCTTGGATTTTACAATGATGTGTGTTTTTTTATTTTTTTTTTGTCTGTCATCACCTTTTAGGATACTTTCCTAACTTTCCTAAGTATCTTTTCTGATAGGAAAGTGAATCTAGTTGGTACTTTGGGGGGTCAAAAGTAAAATTTTTCCAGTAGTTTTCAAAAGCACCTTGAAAAACAAAAGAAAAATTAAGAAAAAACGGGAATTTTTAAGATAAATCGATTTTACACAAAATCGGTTTTGGTTTTTGTTGTTACTCTAAAATAAATTAACGTATATACATGAAAATTTCACTGGTGGTTTATCGATTTTCTATAGAAGATAAAATTTTCCAAATATTTTGAGTTATTTTGAACAGTTTAATGACATTTTCATTTTTCATTTTTTTTTAGTTTTTTTTCTATAAATATCAATAAAATGTTATTTGTTGGGTACAAAAGCTTAAAAATTTAATAAAAGGCTCATAATATATTATTTCAAAGACAGATGAAAAATATTAAAAATCCTTAGTCACAGTTTTTTGTTACTAGCATTTAAAGTTCAAATATGTAAAAATGACGACAATTTGTTAATTATTTCGAGTTAGAAATTCATAAAAATTTTTCTTATGAAATCTAAGATATGAAAATGTAATACAAGATTCCTCATAAGTTTGTCTACCTTTATCAAAAAAAAAAATGTCTACAAGAAACTCAAATTAAATTTTAATGAGTGTTTGAAATTCATATTTTTACAACATTTGATATTCACTCGATTATCATGTAACAATTTTCTAATTTTGTTGTAATTAAAAAACGAATGGCTGGCTGTAGATACTTGAAAATTTCACAGAATGTTTATATTAGAATTTTCTATACACCATATCAGTGGCGTGGCGAACTTCATCAAGTTATGAGGCACAAGTTATATTGTCAGACCCACCACCCATCCCAAAAAACATTACAAAAAATTTTTTACGATAAAATATATTTATTCATTTAAATAATAATGCTTTTTTTAACACATCGGATGATTTTCCCAAGAGTGTTATTGTCTCTTCATAATTAATTTTGATGTCCCTTTCACAGCTCAAAAACATTAAGCTTTCCAAACGTCCCTGATCCATTGTAGAACGTAAACGTGTCTTAATAAGTTTAACCTGAAAATAATAATAATTGTAATTAGTGATAAATTTAATGTTTAAAAAAATGCAATTGTATTTCTGAAAAGGTAAGTTATTATAAATACTATGAGACCTTTACAAAAATCTTAAGCTCTATATTCAATTTTAAACGTTCGCCCCATAGAAGTAAAAAATAAAATTTAAAATCCAAACTTTTATAATACAAAGCAAGGCAATTAAATATATATATTTTAATTAAAAGCTTAGGGATTGAGAACATTTATATTTTAGAAGCAGAAGAATCAGCAATCAAACTTACTTTGGAAAATGATCTTTCCGCAGATGCAGATGTAACTGGTATAGTCCCTAAGACTTTGTATGCTATATACAAATTGGGAAACGCTGCTGACAAATCATACTTGGACAATGTATAAAGAATAGTACTAACACCAATTTTTGTCATATTAATTTGTTCATCTTGAGTTATATTTTTTTCTTCTTCTTCACAACTTTCACTTGATGAAATTGATTCTGGGCAATGCAACAAAGTAGGTAAATCTATACCTGATGTAAGATCATCAAAACTTTTAGAAAAAATAATATACTCATTACGTAGTTGATTTATATCAATTTCTGGTAACCAAGCCACTAGGTCAGCAAAACTATCTTGAGGAAGATGTTGATTTTCATTTTTTAATTTCCTTAATCTTTCTGGTGATAAAAGTGTAAAATCTTTTAATATATTGTTAGAGTCATTGAATCGAGATTGAATTGAAGTAATTACTTTGTCCAAAACTGTAAAGTATGTATGACATCGATACTTGTCGAATGATGAGCTCTGTACTTCATCGGAAGCTTTTTCTCCAGGTAAAATTTTTTTAGTACGTTTTCTTGATTCTTTAAAGTCTACTTCTGTTAGATTATGATTGTTAGCAAATTGTTTTGCTTCTTTTACCATTTCCTCATATTTTTTGTCACTTCTCATCTTAGCTAATTGTTCTTTAGAAGTATTGATTAAACGCAGAGCTTCAATAAAGTCTACTGATTTAGATTGTAAGTAGTTTGATAGTGGTGTTGTAATAGAAAATATTTTTCTTAATAATATCATTGTTATAACAAAATCAAACGATGATATTACATTCAGAAAATTCTTTGCACCAGATGATGTAACTCTGTCAGTTGACTTAAGTAAACATTCTAAAGTTTCATATAATGCTTTATATTTTTCAAAAATAACAATGATAACACGGTCATGAGAAGTCCATCTCGTTGTGGAAAATGATTTTATTCTACGGATTCTTTCAGTAGGATAAATGAGTTTTTGGTACTTAACAAACTCCGATGTTCTCTTTCTAGCTCTCATAAATCCAATTAATGCTTGAAGATCACCAAGAAATTGTCTAGTGTGTACACTAGAATCAGCTGTATCTACGATAACTAAATTTAAGCGGTGTGCAAAACACCATATGTATTTTGCCCTTGGATTTTCTAGCTGAATTAATGTGCGGAGGCCTGAATATTCACCTTGCATCGATGCTGCTCCGTCATATGATTGAGCATATAATTGTTCTTTCCAATTCAAATCATATTTTTTAGAAATATTACAAAATACTTCAAATAATCCTCTTCCCGTTCCATCTTCAGCTGTTACCAGAGAAATTAGTTTTTCTTGAATAATCCCTTCAAAAACGTATCTAGCAATCAAAGTGAATTGTTCAAGATTGGCAACATCAGTGGTAGTATCAATTATAATAGAAAACATTTTTGACATTTTAATTTCATTTATAATAGAAGAACGTATTTGTTCTTTTAAAATGTCTAGTATGGTATTTTGTGTGACATTTGACATGAATGTAAGACGGTTATGGGATTTAGCATTAATTTTATCAAGATGTATTTGTAATGGTGCATGGTAGTTTGCTAATAGATCAACTAATTCCAAAAAATTTCCTTTATTAAGTGATTTTCTACTTTCATCATGGCCCCTCAAAGCTATGTTTTGCCGTGCTGTATATATAATTGCATCAATAATGATTTTAACTACTTGCCGATTTTCAGCTACTTGCCGATTCGCAGAAAGCACCAAGGGTAGCTTTAAATCTAATCTAAGGTTTTTTGAGAATAGGCTCCTACTAATTTCAGAATGCAAATGATCTGGGAGTATTTCATGGTTTTCTATAATTCTACTAATATTTTTCCAATCTCCAGAACCATTTGAAACAATATTAGTTTTCTTTGCCTTTGGCAACCCAAACAACTTGCATGAAATACAGAATATTTTATTTTTTGAAAGAGAATAAGACAACCATCAGCGTTTACAAGGAGCTTGATTTAGTACTGTTTTGTAATAATAACTTGCATGAAATGAGCTAAATTTACCATTTTTTTCAAAAGTTTTTGGAAATACTTTATCTTCTAATTCTAAAGGATTAGGTTGACATGGTCCTAATTCAACAAAATATGATAATTGATTAGAAGATACATTTTCTGGAATAAGAGCTGGATCATTATTGGATGTCTTTGGCATATATTCTTCAAAGCAAAAGTTGTTATTAGAAGCATCAATAAAAGCCTCTCCTATATATTACAAACAATACAAAATTTAGAATATTAAAAGCAAGTTAAAATGCCATAAAACCTAAAATATAATTATTCATTTCAATATTATTTTATATTCAATCGATCGATCTTCAAGAATATAAAATAATAAACTAACCAATATAACAAGACAATTTGAAATAGATGACTATCTTCTTAATAATTAAAAAAATAAAATTGTCGATCAGTCTTTCATGAACATAAAAATGATATAATTTATAAGAAACCTAAAAAGCTTTATCATTTTGTCATAAATGCATTTCTATTTAAAATTAACATTGCATGAATTGAGCATAAGTACACTTTGCATAAATTAATTATTAATTGCAAGATAAAAATAGTTAAGCCATAAAAATGCATTCTTTAATTCTATAGCTAAATAAGCAATGGTGCAAGGCTGGGCAAGTTAACAATTTTTTTTAACTCGTTAAGTTATTTTAAAATAATAAAGTTAAGTTAAATTAAAAGTTAATCATATTTTTTTCGTTTTTAATCTTAAAAAAAAGTAACTTATTAAGTTGAATTTAATTTGTAAAAAAGTAACGAGTTAATTAACTTAACGTTTTAACTTAATTTTAACTATTAACTCGTTAATGCCCAGCCTTGCAATGGTGAATATCTGTTCATGGTTTAAGTACAATGTATTCAAGTTAATATATGAATATTTATTACAATTATAACTACACTTCCATAGAATTATTAGAATTTATTTATTAATACAATATTTATGTATAATAATATATATTTTACTGATCAATTAATTTGAAATTTACACTAACCTGTAGGATTGGTATCTTCAGTGACAACTTCTAAATCTATGCCTTCATTTTTACTATATAATGATTCATCAATATTTTCACTGAATCCTTCAACTTTAAATTTCAAAATACACATTTAATATTAAATTATACTATGTAAAATTCAAACATCTTATTAATAATATATTACCTGCGTTGTTACAATTGATTCTGTTTTCTTTACTGATGTCTGTTGTTGCAACAGTGTTATTCACATGTATTTCTTTAGTAATTTTACTGAAATCTTTGATTTAAAAAATAATTATACAATCAATATTGGTTTTTAAATAATTAATACTAACCTGTAGGATTGGTATCTTCAGTGACAACTTTTAAATCTATACCTTCATTTTTACTATATAATGATTCAGCAATATTTTCACTGAATCCTTCAACTTTAAATTTCAAAATACACATTTAGTATTAAATTATACTATGTAAAATTCAAACATCTTATTAATAATATATTACCTGCGTTGTTACAATTGATTCTGTTTTCTTTACTGATGTCTGTTGTTGCAACAGTGTTATTCACATGTATTTCTTTAGTAATTTTACTGAAATCTTGGATTTAAAAAATAATTATACAACCAATATGGATTTTTAAATTAATACATAAATAGTATCCAACAATATGTTGTTATTCACCTTCATGGTCATCATATTTTATGATTTCGAAAATGGAAGTTATTGGTTATTAACATTTATTTTGAAAAACTTACCATTATCCTGATGAGTTTTTGGTTTTTTTGGAATCAAAAATTCTGTCAGTGTGTGGTTGTTATAATTTTTTGATGATTTTCGCTTTTTGCAAGCATTAACATGTCTTTGCCAATTGGTTAAATTAATATTTACATCACGAACGCGACCACAACTTACACAAGTTGTAGGCATTATTAATTTTGATTACTGTAGTCTGTAACGAGCGTAACGAGTAACGGCTAACGAAAAATGGAAAAGGTGTAGGGAAATTGGGAAATAGTGAATACTAATTTATAACCAGCATTTGAGCATTGATTATATAATCAATGTAACTAGTAACTAATTTCTATAAATAACTAATAAGAAACTTAGATAATATTACAATAATAGTGTTAATGATAATTTTATGTTATCATTAGGTACAAAAACACTGTGTGGTTCACATTGCTAATCAGTGTTGCCCAAAGAAAAGAATCATAATATTATCATTATATCATTAATCATAATATTATACATTATTAATTATTATTATAATACATTAAAATTTAATGTATTATAATAATAATGTAATAATAATTGTACTTGGTCTATATCGTGTATTCGTGTGCCGTGTGGCGAGTGTTAGTAGGCACTTCCGTCCAGTATCAAAATTACGAGTACGGAGTATTTACATTTTATGAATGGTAACTGAGCAAATATTTTCTTAATGTGAGATAGGACCCCAGTCCCCAGGACACCCACCACCCCTCAAACTGAGGCACGTGCCTCAAATATAGTCCTTCGTCACGCCACTGCACCATATAATTTTGAAAATATTTTAACTCTTTTTGAGCTGTTTACTGACATTTTCAGTTTTACACTTTTTAAGTTTTTTTTCTATAAATATCAATAAAATTGTATTTGTTGGGTAGAAAAGCTAGAAAATGTAATGCAAAACTCCTGGTATATTGTTACAATAGCACTTGAAAAATATTAAAAATACATAGTCACAATTTTTTTTTATTAGCATTTAAAGTTCAAATGTTGACAAAATTTATCACATTTAAAATTTAATAATAATTTTGTAGTTAAAAATTTATAAAATGTTCAACTTATATAGCTAATGATTGAAAATTTGAAACATGATTCTACGTAAATAGGTTATTTATAAATTACTTTATTCCCCTTAGTATCATCAAATATACTTCGTAATATCATAGGCTGACTAACCGTTTTCGCTAAGAATCGTTTTTCTTATGCAATGATATGTCGTATATTGTAGACAGTCGTCAATATATTATTATTTAATATATATGTAATAGAGGTGGGAACATTTAAAATTGTAAACTATTGACATAGATCAGTGAAACAATATGTGCTGAGGCAGCAATAAGATTTTACTATATAACACCGCCGTACGGGCAGGCACGGGGAGTCCCGTTGTCGCTGAATGATTCGGCGAGGACGTATACTCTATTCAGTTTAAGTTGACCCACTCGTCAGACGAAAACTGGTCGCGGCCGCGCAGGCCGGTCCGTCTTTGGAGCGCTAGTAGTGATCGTCGCCAATAGCAGCTACCTACTACGACGAGCACTGCCGATCGCCGAACACCGCCGACCAATCACAGACCGCCGGTCGCCTACTCGGGAGGTCTGAGTGTTCCGGCGGCTCAGTATGCATGTACTAAAGTGGGTCAACTTAAACTGAATAGAGTAATAGAGTATAGGTACCTACGACGGTTGTACGTGTGGAACGTCGATCGTTGTACGGGCTAGGCAATCTGAATTTGCTAAGTGTTTCGTTTATGTTTGTTTTAATATAATAAAAGTGTTTCCTACCTAAAAACCCGAGTTGAGTATTATTTCAAATTCTTCTTCGATCTTACCTATAATATTGAAACAGTGCTCAGACCTATAGTCAATGAGCTTTATTACAAACTGAACAGTGCTCTGGTTTTTTTCTGTCTGCCGAACGTATTAGAAAATAATAATCATTTTTGTCATAAATAAAATAAAAAAAAACTATGATAAAGATTATTATTATTACTAATAATAATAATCATTCTAAAAATATCAATTCTATTTAATATTTTAATACTTTTTTTTTTTTTAATTTGTGGAGCTAGTGATATGGCCATATGGACTATTATATTATTATAATATTATACATTAATTAAATCTACATTTCAGTTTGTTGTTGTTCATACGTACATTTGTTCATTGTTGTTTACTTGTTTATGGTTCATACTAGTTGCGTTTGTGAACTTGTACTGTGTTTAGTGTATTTTCAATTATTTAATAACAAGTACCTACTGGTAAGTAAATGTTAAAGTTATACTAGTTTATAGTACTACATACATGTTTAAATTATTAAAAGTTTAACATTGTTTTTTCTAGTTGTTTAAATATGTCAAGTGATGACAGTAATGACACAGATAGAGAACAACAACAACCTCACGTGGTAAAACAAAGGAAAAAATCATACCAGCATAAATTTTGTGCTAGTTGGCTGAAATTACCAGAGTTTAAATCTTGGTTGACTGAAAGCAAGAAGGGTTCGACATTTTATCATTGTAAAGTTTGCCAAGAGGATCATACAGGAGGTATTTCAGCCGTACGGAAACATTCCAATTCGAAAAAACACATTCAAGGTATGAAATCGATAACGAATGTTCTGCCAATTAACCAAGTTATTCAAAATAGCCGCACTGTGAATTTGGATAATCTAACTAAAGAAGCTGCCATACGGGTAAGCATGTTTATAACAGAACACAATATATCGCTAAGGACTTCTGATCATTTGGTTCAACTGATTAAAGTTCTATGTCCCGAGTCTGAAACTATTTAAGCATTAACTTGTAATCGTACAAAGGCTACAAGTATTGTCACTAATGTGATTGGCAAATATAATTATGATGATGTATTAAGAAGAATGGCTGTTCAAAAATTCTCTTTATTGATAGATGAATCAACTGATAAAGGTTCAACTAAGCATTTAGCTGTAGTTGTGCGAATGGTAGATAATTTGAGTTTAAAAGTCAGAGATGAATTTGTGTCTTTAATACCTGTCTCTGATGTATATTTTTGATGTTTTAATAAGTTTTTTTACCAGCAATAACATTCCTTTTAAAACAAATTTAATAGGATTTGCATCAGATGGAGCTAACGCAATGTTTGGACATAAACATTTGGTAAAAACCTTATTAGAAAGTGTTATAAGTGATTTGTTTGTCATGAAATGTATGTGTCATTCCCTTGCTCTATGCGCCTCATATTCTTGTGAGAAAATACCGAATGATGTTGAAGACTTGGTACGTGGAGTTTATACGTATATGAAATATAGTTATAAGAGACAGTGTGAATTTTCTGAGTTTCAGTGTTTTGTTGAAACAAAACCCAATAAATTATTACAACCGAGTCAAACAAGGTGGCTATCTCTTTTGTCTTGTGTAAAAAGAGTAATTGAACAATACCCAGCACTTGTACTTTATTTTCAAGGGCAGTATCTTATAGATAATAAGGCAAATGAAATTTATTCCAAATTATCTGATCCAATATATAAATTATATTTATATTTTTTAGAATATTGTTTACCTATCTTAAATAATTTAACTTTAGAATTTCAATCACAGAAACCTAAAATACATACTCTGTATTCTAAAATGGAATCTGCATATAAAACTATATTAGAATGTTATATCAATGAAAGTTATTTAAAGAACAATGATATATCTGTAGTACAGTATAGAAATCCAGCTCATTATGTTTCCCAAGATAAGATATATTTAGGAGGTAAATGTACCGCAGAATTAATTACCGCAAATATTTCCCAAAAAAATAAAGGCATTTTTATAAATAATTGCTTGAATTTTTATGTTGAATGTAGCACACAAATATATAAGCGTTTCCCATTTAACAGTGACCATGTCAAGTGTCTTAAATATATGTCATTTATTGATCCTAAAAATTTAAAGAATGTAATTAGCATTACTCCTGTCATGACATTTTTCAAAGAACGGTTTAAGAATATTGATTTAAACAGTTTAGATCTTGAATGGAGACATTTAAGAAATACAAACGTAGATATTTCTTTAGAGATAGAAGATTTTTGGGCTAGTGTTAAACAAATACAAAATGGAAATGGATCAGAAACATTTCCTCTTGTTAATAATTTAGTATTTTATATTTTAACTTTGCCTCATAGCACAGCTGCAGTTGAGCGCATTTTCAGCACTGTTAATTTAAACAAAACTAAATTAAGGAATCGGTTATCTACGGATACGTTAAAAGGAATTTTAAATTCAAAAAAACTTATTAAAGGTTCAAAGTTGTTTTAATTTTGACATCCCTCCTTCAATGACTAAAACATTAAATAATAATATGTACAAATAAATGTTAAGGACTAATTTTTTTTAAAAAACTGAAATAAAAAATGTTTTATTTCTTTTTAAGTTAAAATTTGTCATTATTTATTTTTACAAGTATTGTGTTTATAAAAAGTTCCTTATAAACATTTAAAGAATAATTTATTTTGTTACAAAAAGAAACAATGTTATATTTCTTTTTAAATTAAAATTTGTCATTACTTATATTTGATTGTATTGTGTTTATAAAAAGTTCCTTAAAAACATTCTTTAATTTATTTTGTTACAAAAAGAAACAATGTTATATTTCTTTTTAAATTAAAATTTGTCATTACTTATATTTGATTGTATTGTGTTTATAAAAAGTTCCTTATAAACATTTAAAGAATAATTTATTTTGTTACAAAAAGAAACAATGTTTATATTTAAATTAATATTTGTTTTTATTTTGTTAGTTGTAAATAAAAAGTTCCATTATATTAAAGAGTACTTTATTCTGTTATTTGTTATCTTTTTTTTTATAGTACCTACATAATATTAGATTATCTCAACGAATTTTTTAAAGTATGTTTAGTAGTTTATTAAGTATTGCTTAATAAATGTATACAATTTAAGTTTAATAAAACCTCCCCCCTAACAAAATGTATACGCCACTGATATTAGTATATTATCTTAAATCGTGGTTATCACAGTATAATAATCATACAATATTATCATGAAACATGATCTAAGCACAGAATACGGTTTAAGATCGTACTATCTTAAACCGTGGCACAGAACAGCAGCTGCTGCAGAACTCTGGTTTCCTCTTTGGTTCTTTATCAATTAGGTATCAGTTATCACTGAAATGGCGTTATGTTCAATATTTACATTTTCCTACCCCATCCCGTATGGCTGTATGTATCTATAATATGGTATACGATAAAAAGGTCTTTCATAAAATGTAAATATTACTGTTATAATATTATGCATTATTAATTAATATATTTTATTGATTAATTGTAATCGAAGATCGAGCGAAGCGAGATCTGAGTCTAAAAAAAAAAATCTGGGTATAAAACAAATAAAATCGAAACATATGAAAATTTGACCTGACAACACTGTGTTGCGGGCATGCGTATAAACAAAAAATCGAAAACAGGAGTACCATACATTCTATATAATATATAGATGTATTATATCGTCATTGGCAAATTCATCATTTTCTTCTGTTTGTTTCAGTAAGTTATCTAAAATATAATTATTTGATTGTTAAATTTGATATGTAGAGACTTACTTATTTTATTGAGTTAATATACCTATGTCTTCAAGTTGAATGGGATTTTCATTCTCCACATTTCTGCAATATATTTAAGAATGCTTAATCTGCGCAATTATTCTTGTCCTGTGGCTTCTGACTTAAGAGAAGCAAGCCTCTTAGCCTATGCATGTGCTCTCCTATATTCTTCATGTTGGTTTAAAATGCGCTTTGTTTTTATAGGTTCTACGGTTGTAACATTTACCGGATATTTACTTCTGAAGCTTTCACCAAACTCGAAGGAATTACACTTCACACAGTACTATAATATTTCCTCGACCATCTTTCTGCATACAATTCTGGACAATATAATGACATATTGTTGATTTGCCTAACTTTGAATATGTGATGGCAAGGTAAACACAAACTTGTTACAAATGAACAAACACATTTGTTGTCGGAAACTTCTATTACCCCTTCTCTCGATTTAATTTTGACCGTTTGATTCAGATTACCGACAGACACTATTTGTATGTGGTTCATTGATTCAAATTTTGGCAATATTAGGTCAAAAGCAATTGGGGTTAAATGCCAAAACATTTGTTGCTGTTCGTAGGTCACCTTTGAAACAAAACTTGGTGTCTTACAGAAACAGCTCTGTCCTCATAGTGACCATTAACATTTTCAACCCTGCAAATGTATTTCAAGTAATTATAACTAGTAATCTTTAGGTAAATGAAATTTACCTTCAAATAATTGATCAAGTCTACAAGATGTTGTTACAACTTCAGTAATTTTTTGATTTGTACTTTCTAAACAATTATTAGTTCTGTTTCCTAAGTATGTATAGATAAATCATAGATAATTCATAATTATAAAATTCAAACGGTTTTGATTTGAGTTAAATACCTAATGTTATATATTTTGACTGAAAATATACAACCCATTCTTCCTTAATCGTATGAAAATTTTTTTCGAAATACTTTACAACACTTGCAACTTTGATGTCTTTTAATTGACCATGAATTCTATTTTAATCATCTTCGTTTTTGGCATACCATTTCTTCGTCCTTAAATAATAAAACGAAATCAAAATACATGCATACTATATTGTACATTATATTTAAAGTAAAACCTGTTATTATATTCATTTTTTCTGTAGTTATTTCCCTTGGAAATCATCTCATACAATGGAATATGCAAATTAATATATTATATTGGGGAAATTGTTCTCTAAAAACATTTCTCTCTGTGAAATTTTTGTCGGCCATAATGAATTTAATATTGATCCAGTTTGGATTATGTTGTTTAAAAACTGAAGCCATATGTGTAACAGTTAGGTTTGCAAATTCTAAAAACCAATTTGCAAATATTTGCAAAATGAGAACATAACGTTCAAATAAATTGTTTATGGTGGGGGTGGGCCACTTCACGTACGTCACGTTCCACGTGACGTTGATACAACATGTGAATTGAATTGCTTAAATTTTACTCCTCAATAAATGACCAACACCGACACCTTTAATATATTTTACGTTTATACATTTATTGTATGAAAATAAAGTATAGATATGAAATATATAAAATCGTGTACACAAAGTACCTACAGTCTACAAACACACACACACACACACACACACACACACACCACACACACTTGTATAATTGGACGGTGTTTGTGAGAAGGGCATAAGTCAAAACTCGCTAGTTTTCAGGAGACACAAAAAATGTATAATTCAAAAGGGTTTTGCTTATAATTATTAATTATTTTTTAATTAATACAGTTTATTTTTTAATAGATTTTTGAAAATCAATATAAATATTTTTAATTTATTGTTTTATTATTTTTAATGACTTGTGACCATTATCATATCGAATTTTACAATTGCATGACTTGTGCCTTTTCTCACATATTGACTTGTATCTAATCGCATACAAATAAAATCAAAATTTTTGTGATTAAGGACACATGTCATAAATATAATAATAATATTATATTATATTTTTTCACAACATATACCATTTATATAACTCCATACCATTTACAAAAATAATTAATTGGCAGGCAGCACAAAATACATAAATTATAAAATACTTATTCCCTTGAACATAAATAAAAGATCATATAATAATTAGAAAAGTATTAAGATATCAATGGTTTATTTATTAAACACTTGCAATATACTTAAAATAATATTTATTAATATAAAAACATGATTAATAACTTATAACAAATTATGTATATTATAAATTGTTTAACTTATTAGAAAACAAACAGATTTGTAATATGACAATATGATTAAAATAGATATAACTCTGTAAGCTATATTTAACTATTAATATACAATATAAATCATTATTTAAAAACTTTTAAACAACTAACCTTCAAACAGAAAATAATAACTCCTACAAACATAACAAATAAAGTTAATTTTTTAATTAGATATTAAAAATAATGTAGAAATATAATAATTGTATAAGTAAATTTCTAATCAAATAACAATTTAACAATCTCAGGAACATACATAAAAATGCACTTGTAGTTATAAAGAAATTAATGATATAAAATAAAATGAACATAAAAAAATAAATCATTTTCTTCATCTGACACTATAGGGTCATTTATATTTTGTTTAGTTTTTAAATTTTGATAAAAACTATGAAAAGTTTCAGGAATAAATTTTAAAAGAGAAAGTAGATCCTTTTTCTTTTCTTCAGTGATATGTCATCACTGTTATCAGTAAGATGTCATTATATGCTTTTGGAATGGATATATTATTATTTTGAAGTGAATTTCTTCGGGACATACTTATACTGTTAAATAAAGAATTTTCACTTCGTTTATTTTTGTAGAATACTTTATTATTGTCTTGTTTTGTATATCTTAACCATTTGATGTCACAAAATTTGAATGTTTCTCCTTTGTCATTTTTTTTTTTTTTAAACTGGAATTTAGTTTTTAGTAAACTGTTAAAGTCTAAAAAATATGATTGATCTATCTCTATAACGGTAAATTTATCTTTACCTGCAAATCTAATTAACTGAGCCCAGTCATGTGGATGAAAAATTGGGAGGAAAATCGTTTTTTTTGATTTCTCAATGCGAGCGTGATCGGAGTCACACTCCATTCGGGAGTGCCCAGATACCATAAATTTATGGTCAGTTATCTCAATATTTGTATTTTCTTGTTCCAAAAAAATTAGACACATTGCCATAAATAAAGAATTTTTGTTTTGTCCAGGACAACAGTCACTGTACATTATGACATGTTTGATTTCTGGTGGTAAGTTAGATAAAAATGAAAAACGCATACCCCTTTATCATTTCCTCCTCTTTTTGCCATCGACTCATTCCAAACATACCATGAAGCTTTTGAGGTCTTAATATTATGAACTGTTAAATTAAAGGTCCATAATTGACGTTTATAGAATGCGACTTCTAGACTTGGGATTGGAAGGCATTGTTGCAAATCAAATGCTATTACACATACCTTATTTGAAGTAGTACCTGCATCTTTTCTTTTTGTTTCGTACGCGTTTTCAGCTTCATCTTGATGTATTTTTCTTTCATTTAATAGTTTTATTTTACGTTCTTCTGTACAGCTAATATTGGTGGCTTGAATTGTTAAACTGTCACATTTAGAACATGTGTCTTTTTTTTGGGTTTTTTTTATTTTAAGACCACATTCTTTAAAATATTTTTGGTATAATGTTCGACTTATTGGTTCACTTACTGATTGTTTGTACTGATCATATGCCAACTGGATAGTGTAATGATGAGGTAGATATTTTTTGACAGTTTCTTTTCTGCAATAATGGCTTTCATATGATGGCAATTTATTTATATGATCAATTACAGACTGTATAACTCGTGTACTTTTTTATTTTGAGGTTTAGAATGTCCTATTATATCAGGAGTAACTTTATGAGCAGGAGAACTGCTTTTCTGGGTACAAATCAAGCGTACAAATTTAAGTGTTATGCCAAATATGTGACCCATGCATTTCACAAGATTGGAAAAATGAGTTAATCAATCTATTGGTTGATTATGATGCTAGGGATATTTTTAATGCCGATGAGACCGGACTTTTTTACAAATGTTTACCAGATCACACTTTGACATTTAAAAACGAAAAATGTCATGGTGGTAAAAATAGTAAAGAACGGATAACAGTGATGTTTGCCGCGAACATGGATGGATCCCAGAAACTTAAGCCCTTAATGATCGGAAAATTTGCTAACCCACGCTGTTTCAAAAACGTAAAATCTTTCCCATTAATGAACCGATCAAAAAAAAAGGCGTGGATGACAGGTGTATTATTTACAGAGTGGTTGTTATGTATCGATGTAGATATGAAAAAGGCAAATCGAAAAATGTTGATGTTCGTTGACAACTGTACCGCACACAATAATATTCCTCATCTTGAAAATATAAAAATTCATTTTTTACCTCCCAACACTTCAACTCTCCAACCACTAGACCAGGGAATAATAAAAATTTTTAAAACGATGTATCGGAAGGAAATTGTTCGAGAAGTGTTGGCGTGCATTGGTGAAGTTCCATGTAAAATTTCTATACTCACTGGCTATGGAAATGGTACACAAAGCATGGGAAAATGTTAGTGCTCAAACCATCGCCAATTGCTTCAGAATTTGTGGTTTTATTAAGGACGGACAGACAATTGGTGAAGGTATTCCTGTTCAATGTGAGGAAGTTGAAAGCACATGGAACAGACTAGAAGTTCCTGTATCATTTGAAGAATTTGTTCACTTTGACGATAATGTCGCAACTGCTGGTACTTTTACTGACGAGGAAATTATTCAATCTACTTTAGCCAATCAGCACAATTCTGACAATGATGACGTGGAAGAGGAGGCGGAGGCGGAGGCTCCTGTCATATCGTTAAAAGAAGCAACATTTTTTATGCCAGGATTACGTAAATTTTTTGAGCAATCTGAAATGGACGAAAAAAGATGCGATACAATTTTCAATGCTATCAGTAAGTTAGACAACGCTATGGACCAGATTGTGACCAACAATTTTTCACAAAAAAAAATAACAAATTTCTTTAAAATGTAATAATATGTATGTATAATAAATAAATATCTATTAATAGTTTTAAAATATATATTGTAATAATATTTATAATAAGTAAATGTAAAAATAAACGTAATACATACATACATTATGTACAATTTTCCACCTCTCTTTAATTCGAATTAATTTTTTTTCCCTCGATAATTCGAACACTCGGTGCCCTGAATTTCGAATTATCGAGTGACTACTGTATAACACTTATATCATCGCAGTTATTTGTCTCTAGAATATGATTAATGTCAAGTATAACACTATTATTATCACTATCAGTACCATCAAGTTGATAAATATTATTCAACGAAATTTCTTGAGGAATAGAAACTTCAGTCTAAAAAAATAAAATAGATATAAAAAATAAATAATTTTAAGTCGATAAATCGTTTATTTATTTTATAACATATTGCAAGATTGAGTTTCACATGAAACAAAACCTACAATATCAATTTAAATCGAATTTTAAAGTAAAATAAATAATACATATTTTAATTACCTGCACTTCATGAATTGTTGGAGGTTTATTTATAATATTGTTCACGCAAGAAATCTCTTCATCTATCCCAATATTATCACTGCTGAACTCAATATTATAATCTACTCCGTTTAAGGTTATACGGTGTCCCGACAATTGAGCGCTTTATAATATTATACTGAACTGAGTAAAAGTTCATAAAAGTTCACTGTATTAAGTAGGGATGGCACAATGTCAATTGACCGGTCAGAATGTGGTCAATTGACCACAAAGATTTTGACCGGTCAAAATCCAGTCAAAATAAAAAAAAAAACTTCCATGGTTATACTAAACATCGTTTTTAGACAAATCTGCTGTCCAATATTGTAATTTTGTACTAATAAACGTTATGTTGGTCACGCTGTTATTTCTGTAATTAGTTATCAAAATTATCGTCCATGGTGTTATCATATTATAATTATTATATTATCCATCAAGATTTTGATATTTGTTAACGTGAAACGTCAGTTAACGATTCAAATATAAATTTTTCTCATAACAAACTGTCTTATTTATTAGTATTACAGTACACAAATAAAGTATTACTTACTAAGAAATACATATTGAATTTACTATTAAAGTATTAAGTAACATATAAAAATATAAAATGTCTGCTAAAAGATCTACAAAACCTCAACATTTTGTTTGGAATTTTTTTAATAAAGTGGAAGTAGGAAAAACATTAAAAGGTAAGTGTACATTTATTTTATTTTTTCTATTTGTATTAAGTACTACTGGTATTTTTTTAACTAGGAATTTGTCGCTATTGTGCTGCAGAGTATGTTACGCATGTCGACCGACAAGTTAAACACATTTTAAGTGGTTGCAAGAAATCTCCACAATATGTTAAAAACCAACTTATTATAAACATGAAAGCTACAGGAGAATATAATAAAATGAAAAAAAAACTTCCCAGTTACAAAGAAGTCAGTGTAACAAAAGCTATTGATGATGATTTGTTGTCTAGTTCAGTAGAAAATGATACTTTATGTTTATTTGCAGATTATGAAGGTGAGTTTCTAATTTCTTATAGCTACAACCCATAACATTTTCTCAATTTTTTTTTAATGTTCTTCTTTTTGGTTTCATTGTTTTATTAGGAACTTTTTTATTTTTTTCATGTTTTGTTTTTTAGATGATGTTTCTATGCAAGTAAATAAAAGTGAGAAAACAAATAACAATAACTCAAGCATATTAATTGAAAAAGAATTGTACGAAGAACACAAATTAAATAAAATGAAACACAGTTCGGTATCAACTTATATCGACCGTATGAATCAGAATGAACAAACCAATTTAACTTATTTATTTGCAAAGGCAGTCTATGCCAGTAATATTCCATTTCAAATTGTTGATAGTCCTTATTTAAAAAGTTTTTTTGATGCATTAAGGCCCACATTTAAATTACCTAGTCGTAAGCAGTTGGCTGGAAAACTTTTGGATAATGCTTGTACTGAAACCAGTAATCATATATCATCATGCATTAAAAACGCAAAATGTATTGCAATAGTTTCTGATGGGTGGAGCAATCAAAGAAATGAAGGTATCATAAACTATATGCTTACTACACCTCAACCTTTGTTCTACAAATTTGTAGCATGTGAAGAAAATAGACACACCAGTGACTATATTGCAATTGAACTTTGTACTGTCATTGAAGAAATTGGACCAGAAAAAGTCTATGGAATAACTACTGATAACGCAGCAAATATGAGGGCTGCATGGACAATTGTTAAGGACAAATATCCTTGTTGCGCCACGACAGATCTTACGATTTGTGGCAGTTGTCTGCCGTGACTTGCGCTGTAGTATCGAGTATAGGTGACCACAATAATATAACACCAAAACACCAAATAATTATGAACGGCGGATTAACGCCAAAAATGACTATATTGTATACACTTAACGCAATATATAATAGTATGTATATGACAAAGGGAGGGCGCCCCAATCTTACAATAGGTATAATTAAATACAAATGAACACACAAATATCAACACATAAATTATAAATCAATTGACCTGGTACGCTGATGAAAGTGAGACTTGAGACTCCTCCGGATCGATTGCGAAGACATCGACATCCAGCTGTCCCGCGGAAATCGCTGCGGCACGCACGCGACTATAATCGTCAACACACGGTTGATGCGGCGGCACACAATAAGGTGGTGGCGGCACGCAATTTGGATCGGCGGCACGCTTACGCAATGGCGGCACACGATCGAGTTGGTGGCGGTACACGGATAATAGTGGCGGCACACGGATAATAGTGGCGGCACACGGAATTACAAGCGGCGTTACACGATGATAGTGGCGGCACACAAAAGGTTAACGGTGGCACTCAAAATTACTACCAACGGCACACGTGATAGTGGCGGCATACGTGAAACGGCAAACCGTAGCGGCGGCACACGAAATTGACGGCACACGTGGTAGTGGCGGCACGCGTGAAACGGCAAACCGTAGCGGCGGCACACGAAATATTATTGGCGGCACACGGAATATTATTGGCGGCACACGGAATTACAAAAACCGCTCGTCGCACACTATACAAACCTTTAAAAGTGCACGGCGACGCAAAAGCGTCGACCAACGGTTAAGCAACGACGAACAACAACACGTTGCGCGCACGGTGCCGGTAACGCGCCTGCAAAAATCCACGGCCGGCGGCACGGACACAGCGTGACCGGTTCGAGAGAGAGGCAATGAAAATGGCCAGACTGGCACCACACGTACCTGTGAACGACGCGGTGTAATTGAACCGCGCCGAAACAGTCCGGTGTTTGAACATCCTCCCCCTGTGAGGCTTCGCATCACCAGTGATACGGCACGAACGTTAAAGATCAATCCTGGCATGAATAGTTGGTTGACGGCTGGGTATGGAATTAGATGGTGAACAGTCAACGAATGGCGCGACGGCTGAAGTGTACAATATTATACAGAGTTCATTTACAAATTTATATCAATAGTAGATAATTCAAAAAAAGAAAAATAGTGACATATGGTCCGTACAATTGTATAATTTCATAAAACAAAACAAAACAAGTATAATTTAAAATTATATAAACATAAACATATTAATGTGGTCACCAGATGTTATGACTCCCGAGAGGCTCAATGTTTCTAGGGGGGCCGTATGACAGCATAAAAATAATAAAACAAGAGGTGACTATATAGAATTAGCGCAATGGCTGGTGACTATCAATCAACGGGTAACGGTACTAACTTAACAACTGGTCGGGTTATATCCCCCGTGCTGGTCAGCACCCGCGCAACACGGACAATCCCGTCAGCCCCTGGGGTTACCTCCATGACCCGGCCCAGTCGCCACATCAGCGGGGAACTGTGACTGTCAATAATCACCACCATGTCATTGACTTTTAAATTAGGAACATTTCGGGTCCACTTAGACCGCTCCTGGAGAGTGGTCAAATATTCGTTCGACCATCGCCTCCAAAACGCCTGATGGCACTGGTCAAGTAATTTCCATCTATCCCGGACATTGCGTTTGGAATCGGGGGTAGACCTCGGAGGAACGGCTATTAACGGCTGCCCTATTAAAAAATGCCCCGGCGTTATGCACTCTAAATCGCGGGGGTCGGTGGACGCAGGCGTTAACGGCCTAGAATTAAGCACCGCCTCTATGCGCGTCAACACGGTGGTAAACTCCTCGTAAGTGAGAACATGAGTCCCGATGACTCGAACTAATAATCGTTTTGTGGACCGCACGGCTGCCTCCCACAAGCCCCCGAAGTGAGGGGCGCTGGGGGGGTTGAAATGCCACTCAAACGATGGACGCGCATTCGCGATAACAACTTGATTTTCCGGGCTATTGATTAATTGGTGTAACTGTTTATTTGCCCCGACAAAATTTGTTCCGCAGTCAGAGTAGATGTCGCTAGGTAAACCCCGTCGGGCGACAAAACGATCCAACGCGGCCAAAAACGCATCGGTGGACAAGTTTGAAACTACTTCCAAATGCACGGCCTTAACCGTAAAACAGATAAACACGGCTATATAGACCTTATATACGCGCGGTTTTCGTAGTCCGAGATCACGCATTTGCAACGGTCCGGCAAAATCGACGCCTACGCGGGCGAACGGCCTACACGGTTGTACACGCGCAGCTGGTAGATCGGCCATTAACGGCTGGGCCGGTTGCGCGTTCAGCCGCACACACACAGTACAACGAGACATTACTCTATGTAGTACCGACCTGAGCGCAATTATCCAATACTGTCGCGAAATTAGAGCTGCCATGACTCGCGGTCCCGAATGGCAAGTTATTCTGTGCCATCTCTCGCACAGTAACTTGGCGAAATATGACTCTTTGGCCAATAGGACGGGATGTTTGCAGTCGTACGTTAACAGGGAATGTTTTAAACGACCCCCTACTCGGATCACCGAATCGGCGCCGATAAAAGGCGATAATTTTGACAATGATTTCGATGAAATATGATTGCTGTTCGACAGCT